CTAGGGAAAGTTCTGGCTTGATCTGATCTAGGACCTGCTTGTTTGTCTTTCTCTCCAGGATATTCACAAAACTATTCTCCAGCACCATGTTTGGAACACATTACTTGTCTTCCTGTCAGTAACTTACAAACAAATTATAAAGACTGAGGATGTCAAAGTAGCTCACATACAACCATATGACCACCATAGATGCTAAAGAAAGAGTCAGAGAAAGGACATTCAGTTGGAAGATCACTGCACAAGCAAAACCAGATAATCATGATGTTAGGATGCTAACTAGAGATTAGGATGCTGAAATGGATACAAACACTAATGTATTGTTTAGACTTACTTAGCTCCAACTTTTGGAAACAGCCTATACTCTACAAACCATCTAGACTAGTTCTAGGATTTAAGCAGATGTAGGGTACCTCAGGCCCTCCAGGCTTTCCTGGAGTCCTAATCCAGCTCTCTAAAGTTCCCCAGATGCCCACAACCATATGTTCTCCAACAACCATCCACTGTTGGGCGGTATCCCAAACTTCGTAGATTCTTCTTCTAATGCTTTGTTATTAGCAGTAACTGCTTTACACTAAAATATACTGACATCAGGGTTATTTATTTCTGGGGCCATCCCTTTTGCCTTTAATCTTGCCCACCACTGGAATTGGTCTTCAAGTTGAAAGAGATTCTCCACCCCTGATTTAAGTTGATCTCAACTAAAAGATCATGAATGGACTGAAAAGTTTATACTCTGTGCTTGCTGTTTTCACCAAAGTTAAAATGTCTTAATCCCTAGAGTCATTACCCCAAATCTGCTCATTTCTGCCTGGGATGCTGACATAATACTGGTAGAATGTATGTGGTCTGTTACATTGCATTTGAATCATTCCTGGTATATCCAATGATATTTAAACAGATTTTAGAAACTGATTGCAAAAGATTTTAAATATACTTAAATTAAACCTCTCCCATTTAAGTGGTTTATAGAATCAACTACCCTGCATTTGGTTGACATTTCCCTGTTATTTTCCACTTCTACCAAGCTGCTACTGCAACTCTGTCATTACCTATAGTCAAGCTAACAATAACAAGTCTTGAAGAATCCGTATGTAACACTTTTAAAAAATATGGTAATAAGCACAAAGCATCAATGTAGAAAGCCTTGCATCTATTCACCTGGGTCTGTACATGCAGTATGGACCTTTCTCCTGCCTTCTTCAACGTACAGCTCCCTCTTCCCTATAGCCCATCACAAATGTTCTAGAAAGTTTTTGTAATGGGGAAGGGACATTATGCTGTTGCTCAGCAAAATCAGGATAAAGTCTCTTGAGATGTTTAGGCTTTGATTCTCAAGGGGTCATTATTAGAACTAAAACAACACTCTAAATAGCCCAGGTATGTTGCTTTTAAAGCCAGATTTTATATGCATAGGGTTCAAAGAAAGTAAGGCTGTAATCCACTATGATCCTGCCTGAGAGTAAGTTCCATTGAACTCTATGGGGCTTATTCCTGGTTAGGCATGTATACAGGCATGAATGGGCATGCTCTGCTAGTCCTGATTAAGCCTCACTGGAATCCAGTTAGTTGTGACTCACTTAAATCCCATTCATTTAAATGGGACATGATTAGAAGTCCATGGAAACCATGACTGATGTTGGGCCATAAAGTGAATCTGTAACCAGCACAGAAAGCTCCTCCATAGACATTATACACTTTTTAAAAGTTGCTGGTAGCACAGGAACAAACTTTTCAAAATAAACTGTCCTGTTTTGCATTGCTGCCTCTGTGTCAAAGATCAAATACCCCCCACACCCATTGCTCTTTTCCCTATAAAACACACATGCACACAGAGAGAAGTCAGAAATAGCTTCATAGGCTAGTAGAAACAATGACCAGTTATAAAGCCAACATTTGTGAGCATAAATATAACTTAACCTTCTCTGTGCTCTGGCAATGATGTTTCACACATAATATCAAGCCCAAGCACCCATCCAGCCTGTGAACAGTTGCTAAGCAGTTAAAAAAAGTGATGAACAGTAATCATAATCATTCATTATGATCTATCACAGTTTATCATGTATTCTGCCAAGCATAGTTTGATTAGCTTTCAGAATGTTACATTCTGAGCTTGGATTGCTGACGGGCAAATACAAGCTTTCATTTTGCTGTGGTATACTAAACTTGTTATTAAAGCCATTTTTGGGGAGGGAGGTGTTTTTAAAATCACAATTATATAAGGATAAAGAACAGCTCGCAGAGAAGTCTGCTGGAAGCAGCAGCAACAAAGCTTTTAGAGCTGTGTCCACTGTGTGTTACATGGGGCTTCCCCATATTCCTAGTCAACTGTCATGCACGCAAGGGAAAGACACTGCCTTCCATTCCAGAAGGGTTCCCAGTGGTTTGCCAGTGCCTTTCATGGGCACAGAGGCTAAACAACTTTTTCAAGCTTTTCAGCTGATATACTGAATGATGAACTGCTCTTCTTTTACCTCTTTGATTGTAGGGGAAAGCATTTTGCTCTCCTTGCCATCTTTCCTAATTTAAATTAGTGTTATAGTTGGATAGCTCAGTTGGGAAGCTCAGATTTTACCTTTTTTATGAAAAGCTAGCAATCTCTCCCCCCCCCCCCCCCCATATAACCTGTGTGGTTTTGGGAGAGGAAAATATAGGAATTCCCCCTGACTTGTTATTTGCACTCTATCTTCAAATGTAGATCTGAGTTTTGCACTTTTAACCTATTCTTAGGGTTTCTCCAGAATGTTACATTTTACCACAGAGTTTCAGTGAAACAGCAAGAGATGCCTAACAATAGGTCAGCTGCATTTTAAGTTCTTGCATTGCTCTGCCAAAAAGTTTGAAACACATTAACATATTCACTGATATTCTGTAACTGTTTATCCAACATCTCCTCAGCCTAGGTCAATTAAAGGTGTTACCTTTTCAAATTAGGAGGTTCATTAATTCTATCACATGTGCTGTCAGCAATTCCAAAAATTTACCCTAACTCGTAGGATACATATGCATGATAATCAGAACACTGCCATTCATTCTAAATTAATTCAGAGTAACTACTACCAATTTATTTCCTATTTGAATCTCTAAGGTTGGTTACAGTCTTCATTTTTCCACATATGGCCAAGTACTGTTCACAGAATAGTAGAGTTTAATAGTATTGGGGGAAAATAATTCCTGAGTACATACCCTTGTGCGTTAGGAGATTTCTCTAGTTTTCTGCATGATAAATCTTACATGCTACATCTGCTATCCTTGGTAAACTATTCTGCACAGCCATAAACCTGCACCCACTTAAAGTAGTATGCTTCAGCCTGCCTGCCTTCCCTTCCACCGATGCCTTCTGCTTGTTTAGAGCCTTGTGTACATACCCAAATAAGCAGCTGTCGCAAGCCATGCATCTCGACAATTCTGCATAGGTTTTTTGTTGTGGGGTGATGTGGGTCATTCAGTGCAGCCCGTGCAAACATGTGTCCTGAGCGGAGCCTATGCTGCGTACTCAGTTGTCTGCAGTGGCTGATTTGAACACCAGCAGGGGGAAAAAACCCCTCGGCTGTCAAAACGATCCAGGGAGCAATAGCAGCATCAAGTTTTCTGCACTGTATCAGCTTAGCATGAAACTGGATTCAGCCTTAGTTCTCAGCATAAAACGTAATGCTGGAGTACATCTAGTACTTCAAATATGAGAGGAGACTTGTTCAGACTCAACTAGAAGCCACCCTTCTCCGATTCCAAAGGCATGAGCTTGGGAATTACGTGGTGATTGGGAAATTGTTCTGCCTTTACTAAGGGACACTTTGTTTTTCAGGTAAGGGCTATTGCAGTTTACCTAGGGAACAATTTGGGAGGGGCAGCACTTGATAACTTTCAGAACAGAAAGTTCAGAAGTATCTCCACTTCGTGTACATTATTCAGTGAAATCAGTTCTTTGGGGAAAATAATATTTTATTATCATCTGGGAAGAAACATCTATATATTCTAGCCCCATAACTTGTGTGTGTGTGAGAGAGAGAGAGAGAGCGAGAGAGCGAGCGAGCGAGAGAGAGAGAGAAACAGTTGGATAAACTGTGCAAACAGGCTGAGGGACATTCTGCTTTCTTTGGCAACCTAAGAATGATACTGATTGGATTGTTTTTGTTTTCCTGGCCAGGCTACAGGAGTAGAAGGATGGGCAGAAATTCAGCAAGGGACGCTTTCTCCCATCCCCAGCCCTTGGTGCGGAAGAGAGCAGTCACCGCTGCCCTCCGGAGGGACCCCCCCCCCCAGCGTGTTCTTCGTGTATCCCACTTCTTGGTGGCCAGAATGGACCTCGAGGCTGCGGAGATAAGACCTCTCCCTCTCCTGGGGCATCTGACCTGCGCGGGCTGGAAGGAGGCGAGGAGGAGGAGGAGGAGGGGGCGCCCCGTCGCCTTACCTGAGAAGTCCGCTAGCGCGGCGCTCTCTTTGGTCCACAGCAGGAGCAGGCAGAAGCGGAGTGCGAGCAGCCCTACCTGGCGCCGGCGTGGATGCTGCGCCCCAGCCTCCCGTTCGCTCATGGTGCGGAGGCAGCGGAGGGGGGTCCCTGCAGCGCAGCCCGGTCACATGACGGCTCCAGCCCCCAGCCGAGAGAGTCCCCAACCTTCCTGGGACTGGGGACGCAGGCTCTGCCGGCGAGGGAGGGAAAGGGGCGGGATCGGGCTGGAAAGGGCAACTGGAAAGGCTCGCAAAGCCTCCACGCACTTCCCCGAGGAGGAAGTTGCCCGGGCAGCAGTGGCTGCGCACTGACCCTCGGCCGGACTCGCGAAGGGATCGGGGAGTGGATGGCGCGGGGGTGGGACGGGCGGCGGCGGCGGCGGCGGGGCAGAGCGGCGGAGCGCCTCGCGCAGAGCTCCCGGCATCGGCCAGGCGCGGAGGGGCGCGCGGGACGGAGCCTGGCTGGCCGCCTACGGCGCGGCGGCGGCGTCCCGCTCAGCGGTCCCGCGGCGCTGGCGCACTGAGCAGGCGGCGCCCCCTCATGCCAGCCCGGGCTCCCTCGGCGCTGCCATTCCCGCCTCCAGCGCTCTCCTCCCAGCCCTCCTCCTCCTCCGACGCTCTGACGGCGACGGGCGCCTCTCGCACGAGGTGCTGCTCCGGAACGGGACGTGGCCGCTGGGCCGGTTTTCCGCGCACGCCCTGCAGGCAGCGCCCCTCCTCGCCCTTCTGCGCAGTAATTGGCACGAACGTGCGGATGTTCGCCCTTGCTGCCGCGAATGCCGGATGCGTAACTAACTGGCTTGTCTATTCCCGCAAGCAGCGACTGAAGAATTGAATGTTGCCCAGAACTCAGCTGAGAGTTGCATCCACAGAGCGGGCCAGGTGCGCTCTCGGGAACGGTGCTCTTTCGGCCCTCGCGGCGAAATAAGGACACTTGCATCATCCACGTGTGCAGTAGTGCTTGGAGTGGCCGACGGGACCGGGAAGACCTGGGGTGAAGCTCCCTTGGCCATGCAGCTCACCCGTTAACTCTGGGCCGGTCACTGATTCTCAGCCTAGCCTACTTCACCGAGCCGTGGGAATAAACTGGAGCGGATAACAGCCATGCACGCGTCGTTCAGATGCCCGCAGGAGAAGGTGCGGTCACAGAATAGCAGAGGTGGAACGGGCCAGGGGGCCACTGCATCCAACCCCCTCTGCCCACTGCAGGACTCCTAGTTAAACCACCCCTCTCAGATGGCTATCCGGTTACATCTTGAATGCTTCCAGGGTGGGAGAGCCCTCAAAGTCCCTTGGTCGTTGGTTCAATTGTCGTACTGCTCTAACAGTCACGAAGTTCCTCCTGATGTTCAGCCGGAACCTGGCTTTTTTGTAATCTGAGCCCATTATTCTGTGTCTTGCACTCCGGGATGATCAAGAAGAGATCTTAGACTTTGTGACAGTCATTCCAGTGCTATCATATATCCCCTCCTCTGTTTTCAGTTCTCAAGGTTAAGCTCGCCCAATTCTTTCAACTCTCCTCACAGAGTTTAGTTTCCAGACCCCAAATGTAAGTGCCACAAAGAAAAAGTAGCAGTGTACTCAGCTTTTCCAATATCTCCTAATGTATAAGGTGACAGTGGTCGTGTAGGACTCAGTAAAGCTCTCATGGGATGCTTTTGCTTACTTTTCCCAAAACATTTAAAAAATACCATAATTTCTCCTCTTATACAATACAATGAGTATCTTTATTCACAATGAAATCAAACTTCTCTCAGATTTTTTAAAAATATGATTAACTATTGATAGGCCTAACTTCAAAGATCACATTACAATATATTTTGTATCTCTCTTCCATCCTTTGTATAAACTGGATGTCAAGCTGACGTTGAACCAGAAATGGAGACTTGTGTTGCAAATGCACACACAAAATTTTATTATCACATCTTCCTTGGCACAGAAGGTGAGTTGGAGATAGATTCTGGGATCTAATAACTGTTCATAGACAGCAGGAACCGACTCTGTGACCCCTCCGCCCCGGCTTTCCTTATTTGCAACTCTCTTGGCTCTTTGCTGGTCTTCCCTGGTGTGGCGCACCATTCCTTGCTTCTTAGTTGTCAGTCTGATGCCACTGCTGACTTCATTAATGAAACTGGAAATGCATGCTGAGCACGCTGAAAAAAATGGCCCGCTCCCAGGAGGGTGCCCTGTCCTTGCATAATCAAAGCAGCAGCCAGCACATGCTGTCTGTCAAGCAGAGGTGGCTCACTTGGATAGACCTGAATTCCTTTGATCAGAAAGATCGATGCATGATAGCAAATTTCATTCATCACTATTTCACACAACCAAGCCACCTGCATGATATAGCATTTTAAAGTGAAAAATATAACAAACATCATCCACTGACCACTTCATTTTACAAAAGTGCTGCCGTGAAGAGGCTTCTGTGTAAGAACTAATCCATTGCAGCAATGTAGATTGTAAAATAATGAACATACAGCTATGTAAACAGTGTTAATTCCATGTAATGACCTGGTGACTTTTATGTATTTATTTATTGTGCAAAATAAAAAACAACCAAACCACACCATTAAAGGAGGGGAAAAAGAGAACAGAACTGAAACATTACAATTTTTGAATAACATGAAAAAATCCATAGCACTAATTACACATATATTTCTATATGTTAGTATATAATAGAACATACTACCACAATTGAAAATAATTATGCCCAGACTTCAACAAAGGCCCCCAACTATCCACATATTTATCCATTTGTAAATTATACTTGAAGGCAGCACAGCCAAAAATGAAAAGTGTCATTAAATCCTCCACCCATTAAGTTATTATAAATGGCCATTTATCCTTCCAGTGTTGTGATATATAGTCTTTTAGCTGTCAAAAGGGTGCAGAAAATCCATTTAAACTTGCATTAAATTCCAAGGGATGGGCAATTAATTCAAAAGAGCATGTGTATCCTTGAATATTAAAGAACTGTCCATCACAAGATTTATTCAAATTATTACCTCCTCCCAAAAGGAAGCTGCCATTAAGTATTGTCAAACATATGAAGAAGAGAAACATTAGCAGCATTTCACCTTCAACAATTGGCTGATTTAATTAAGTCTTTATCAAAGAAATGTGTCATTTAGTATACTCAAATCATCCTTTTTTACTGAAATAAAACATAGCCCAGGATCCATGCCTCCCCCCACCCCCATAAAATGCATAATAATGAAGTAGTCTATTGACTGGGCAAGATGGGATATTACATTTCATTATTCCATTCTTGGAATAGACCCTGTTCACCAATAATAGATATTTATATGCATAACTTGTAGGCTGATATAACTGTTCCGCTTCAAATCCATACTTTGCCTGGCAAAGATTGCCTGGCAACAGTGACACGTGCATTGGTAACTTCCTGATTAGACTTCTGTAACACGCTCTATGTGGGGCTGCCCTTGAAGATGGTCTGGATACTTCAATTGGTGCAAAACAGAGCTGCCAGGTTGCTGACGGGGGCTGGGCGTTGTTCTCATATAACCCCAGTCCTCCATCAGCTTCACTGGCTCCCCATTGAAGTCCGGGTCCAATTCAAGGTGCTGGTTATTACCTATAAAGCCCTCAATGGCTTGGGACCTGGTTATCTAAAGGAGCGCTTGCGTTCATATATGCCCTCCCGCCCCTTGAGATCGGCGGCAGAGGCCCTTCTCCGGGAGCCCTCTGTGAAGGATGTTAGGAGGGTGAGTACCCGGAGGAGGGCTTTCTCTGCGGTGGTGCCCCATCTATGGAATGCGCTCCCCAGAGAGGTCCGCCTGGCACCGTCATTATTTGTGTTTCGGCGCCAGGCCAAGACCTTTTTATTTAAACGATATTTTAATTGTTAATTGTTGACTATTTATTGGGTTTTTATATTGTGCTGAGATGTCTCCGGATTTTTAAGGTTAATTGTGTATATTGTTGTTTGTTTTGTATGCTGCCCCGAGGCTCTTTGCGAATGGGGTGGCATAGAAATGTTTTAAATAAATAAATAAATACTTCTTATAAGACAGGCAGCTCAGAAACTGCACCACTAAACTTGAATTCTAACAGACATTACAATTGCACATATTGTTGTGCAGCCTTAGCTGGCAATTTATATTTAGTACACAAAGCAGAAAATGATTGTCAGGACTGACAAACTGATCCAAAGTAAAAATCAGCTTGTCTGTCAAAGTCTGCCAAACAAACATTTTCCTACCAATTTCTAAGGCTGGATTTCCCCATAAAGTTAATGTTGCATGTAAAAATACAACAAACTACAATTGATGTGAAAATATAAACACAGGTCTGTAGTTGCCACATCTGGAAGAGGTATAGTATCTATTTTGGTATGACAAGTGCCCAACACAGTCCCCTTGGGAATTTTTCAGAACTAACGAACCAGGGAGAGGAATCTAGACCAAAATCTAGTACCCTTGAAAGGATGCAACTTTTGATCAAAGATGATAGATTTGTACTCCCTGACTACCTTATACCATTGGGTCTATTTGGTGATAGTTTACATGTCCATTCAATGATAGAAGCATGATATAAATAAATACAAGTGTGCATTTTCACTTGAGCTTCTTTCATGTGTACGACTAAAGGGGGCTCCACATGGTTCTAGATAAGCAGGATGGCTCCATCCTTGATGTTATTCAGATTCACAGGCCCCACCTCTGATGTCCACATATTGAGCATGGATGTCTTGCCGGGAGGGGAAAAATCCACACATATGGACCTCTAGACATGCAGGCTTCCCTGCAAACTGGAACCCTATGTGATTAGTCTACTTATGCTGGATTTTTCTCTGTAGGCATCCATTTTCAATGCATAGACATTGGGGCAGGGCTGGCAATGCCAGACAACGTTGGGGACAGAATCAGTGGCATAGTTCCACTTCCTCTTAATCACATGGAGTCCTTTCATGAGGTTCTGTTGTGAAGAAATCTTTTGAGTGACCATGTTTACTTTTCTTACAATCCAGTTCACATCTGCACTGAATGGATGTTTCAGTTTGTGCAGTGATGGTCTTTTAAAAATTGCTTGGGCTTAAGTACCTTTTTAAATGTTCATGCAGATTGCAATCCTGTACATGCTTAC